AACCCCGAGGAAGGGCGCACCACTGCGTTGAAGTCATTGAAGTCAGTGTAGTCGGTGAAGATGTTGACCTGTTGTGTTTTTAGTGGAAAGTTTCTTCGTTTATTCAAAAAGTGCATAGGGTATGTTGGGGATTTTTGGTTTTATGTGTTGGAATATTACGATATATATATATATATTATTTTGAAGATTTTGTTATATTTTGTATGGGATTTGCCTATATTTTTAGAGTATTAAGGTGTTTAGGGTTTTAAAGGCCATGCTATATGTTAGGATTTTTTATTTTATGGGTTTAGGGGTTTAGGAATTGGGGGATAAGGCTTGAAGGGATTATGCACTGCACTGGCTGTCACAACTGGTCGCAAATCTGCTGGCGCATCACACATGGCAACTTTTCACAACTCAAACAGTCCATCAAGAGTCAAGAGTGCTCCGCTCTCCAAGCGGTCAAGGAAATCTGCATGACGCATTTGGCGAAATCACATAGGGTATGTGGCGAAATCACATAGGGTATGTGGCGAAATCACATAGGTTATGTGGCGAAATCACACGCCCAATCACGTCAGCAGAGACATTGCGAAAATGCCCTCACTCACTCATTGGCGCGGGGTATGCCGATGTCGCACCCGTGCCGCTACGCTTCAAAGCGATAGCAACCGCCACGTCTTGGCGAAGCTTTTCCATATTCATTGTCCCGTTTGCGGTGGTGTAGTCCTTTTCGATGGTTTTCTTTGCAAGGTCTTTGAAGCTCTGGATGGAAAGCAATAGCTTTTGTGCCGCATCGTCCAGTGTCTGGTAGGGCTTCGACGTTGCTATGAACTTGTCAAGCTTGGCGGCGTTGGTGGTCTTTGTATTATGCGAAAAGGTGTTTTGGATGGCTTCAAGCTCCTCTGTGGTCAATCCGCTCAGTGCAGTAGCGACGTTGAAAGTCTGGGCGTTGGAGATTTCCACCGCAACACTGAAAGCGTCCACAAACTTACTCTCGTCTGCCTGCGAAGCCTTGGGCGTGGAGTCCTTGAGGGTGTGCTTGACGACTTTTTTTGCACCACCGCGAAGCACTGGGCGAATCTCAAACTTTGGGTTTTTCTCGTTCACGCAACTCACGATGGTCTCCTAGCCGGTGACACGAGAGTTCCCGTAGTAGATGGCGAAGTCCTTGCCAATCTTGTCGCGGACACTGGCGGGAAACCTCGTAGCCAAGTCGTCGAAGGTTTCGGACTGGTAGTAGGTGGTGTGCAAGCTGTAGCGCCGTTTATCGATGTAATAGACGACTTCCACCATCCCGACAACCTTTTCGTCTTTCTCCTCAATGAAAATCTCCTTGGAGTCAGTGGCTTCGTCGTCTTGGAATGGGGCTTCGTCGTCTTCGCTTGTTGCTTCGTCGTCCTCTGTCTCGCTTGTGACATTGCATTCGGCTTGGGTGTATGAGTATGTTGAGTAAGGAAGAATAAGCAGGTGCGAGTAGTCGCCCTCAAGCTCTTCGTGCAAGAGCTGGTGAAAGGATAGCGAACCCTTCATTCGAAGCGTAAATCCTCCGCTTCGGACTGGGTCACAGCACCCAACCACAACCAACTTGTCATTGGGGTCGGGGTCGTTGGTAAGGGCATCTTCCCCGTAAGCCTTTGCGTAGCGCTCAATGATGGTGTCCGCGGTGTCATTCGATGTGACGCGCATAGGTTTGCCATCGATACCATCCATGCCGAAAGTATGAACGACGACGTCATACTCAGCATGGTCTCGCAAAGGCTCAAGGTGATGCTCTTGCTTCCAAACACTCTGGTAGTTCACAAAAGCCTTCATGTACATGCCGCACATGTCTTGCTTACTGCACTGCTTCGTGGCAACCCCGAAAACCTCAGTCAAGGAGCTTTTCAGCTCTTTCATGGTGTGTCGCTTCAGTGCATCGGGAAACTTGCGCATGAAGCTTTCGGAGACAACGTAGTTCATCAACATGTTGATGTGCAAAATCTCCATGTCTCTAATCATGATTGGCGAAAACCCCTTTTCGTTGGTAAGGAAAACCACCTTGCCCGCGTAAGCGTCCATGCGGGGATTAATGTCCTCGCCCTTCTCAACAATCTTGTTGCGGTAGTTATCCCAAGAATTCACAATGAACTCTGCCAGCGAAGTTTTACCGTTTGCGAGTGCATTGGTAATGCGATAGCCAAACTGCATTGGAAACCGCTTTAGCCATTCCGCATTCACCTCGCTCAACTGCTCAACGGTTGGAGACGAACAGGCGATGTCACAGATGCCCTTCGCATCAAGCACCGTCAGCGCCTCTTGCTCAAGAACCGCCAAGCCGTTGCCAGTGCTCACAAAGAACAACATGGCGAACACACACTTCTAACTTCAAGACGCAAAGATTTGAACAGTCAGGGCTGTGGTTGATTTGCTCACGTATGTGCACACGCTTTCAAGAGTTCTAACATGCTCAAAGACTGTCTTCATCAGCAGAAAACCCCAAACACGCAAGGCGCACCGTCAGAATGTTCGCCAGCTCGTCGCCCAAAAAGCGAGAAAGGGGGCTTGCCCCAGTCTAAGGCTCATTGTTATTCTTAGGTTTTGGGCTTAGGGGTAAGCATGTTAAGGGAAATAGGATTTGGTTTTTTACGGGATTTTTTGGGCTAAGGAATAACGGGGATTTGGGTTGAGATTTTGGGCTATGGTTTTGGGAATATGGTTTTACGGGGATTTGGGAATATGGTTTTCGGGATTTTTGGGCTAAGATATACGGGTTGATATTTGGCATATGGGTATAACGGGGATTTGGGAATATGGTTTCGGGATTTTTGGGCTAAGATTTTGGGCGAATGGTTTCCATAGATAAGTGGGGCAAGGTGTCTCGTAAGTGGGGGTTGGGGGGATGGTTCAAAGAAAGGTTGAAGCTGCGTCTCTACCTGCAGACATGTGTGTGTGTGTACATTCGCGTATATGCTCTTTGACGACTCAGGTCCCATCGATCTGCCCGCTTGGATCGCGTGTGGTGGCCTGCCGCGCCTTCCCTGCGGGTACGGCCAACGGAGATAGCTGGACCATCACCGACCGCGCATGTGCACTGACAAGTCCTCGATCAATTGCTTCTTGTTCCTGGGCTGGCGAGACGGTGGTACTTGACAAAGCCCAAGCTTATAATGGCTGCCCCTCTGATTTCTTTGCAACGAGCTGTTGGGGCAGGCCTTTTTCGATCGGAGTCGTCTTTGACCCTCCCATTGGCACAACAATTTGCCCTTTCCCTGATCGCGGAGAGCAAGGATATCCCAGGATTTGCCAGAAGCCCAGCACCTCCTCCAGACAAAAGCGGCCTCTTCCTATATCCTTCGAGCATGGCAGGTGACAGTTGCATGTGCAGACATGTGCAGACATGGCCTACCGTGAGCCCCAAACCAAACCACTATAAGCCACCGAAATCCTGGAAAACCCGCACAGCCCAGAGTTTCCAAAGTCATCCCAAAACAAACAACACAGTCATACTAGAAAGTGGTAGCCATGTTTGACAATAGTCATACTCGCCCTTCATGTTATGAAGAAAATGATAATACGAAGTGTTTTGGGTAGGTCCCTGGTGGCACGGTGCTGGTCAGAGCGCTTTGTCTCTGCTTCCTCCTCTGTGGAGCTTCGTTGTGTGGCAGGAAAGTGGAGGAATGAAGCGACTTGACATGGACCCACTTAGTGAGCTAATTGGTTCGGAAAGGGAGCATCGGGTTTATATAGGGTTTAGGGTTTAGGGAGGGATTATTATCAGGTATTGCTGTAGGGACTGCTGTAGGTTGCGGGACTTGTTGGAAAAAGGAGTGTTCACGATGATTGTATTGTAGTGGTCCAGAGATTACTGTACATTAGTTAATGTTTTGCGTGTCCTTCTAGATAAAAGGGGTATCTTACCATGTTGGAGGGCCGCAAAGCGGATCTGACATGTGTTGGTTGGGGTAAGTTATGTGTTCGCCCTGGGGTATGAAGTGCGGGGCAGTGGCTGGGGCTTCGGCCTTGTGCTTCAGTGCTTTGTACTCTGGGGTAATGAGTGGGGTATTTTGTTCACTTATGGGGTAGAGATTGTGCGGAGATGTGGGGAGTGGCTACTGTCCTTCGGGACTGGGTACTTAGATGTGCAATTATAATGTATCTAGACTTGTTATTAATTACACTTGTGAATGCTTCGTGCAGTCCGCCTCGGCCCGGTGGGGAGGGAACGGCAGGTGGGGGGAGGGGTGGGGGTAGGGGGAGGAGGGAGAGGAGGGGAGGAGGGGAGGGCGAGGTGTGGGTGGGAGGGGGGGAGGGGTCGCAGCTGCCAGGTACCAGCCGCCGGTGCTAGGCTTGCAGATGTTCGCAAGAAGCAACGTCAGAAGAACGAGCCAACGAACAAGTGGTGGGGGATGTTTTTTTCTGAAAGAGATCTCTGGACGCCTCTTGACCACGGCCGAGGCGAATATCACAGAAGCCTTAAAGCAGGGAAAGGAACATAAAACGACTTCGCCAAGAGCCCAGGCAGGGAGCCTTGGCCTGGCAAACTTTGCTTGCAGCCTGGACTTCTTCAGAGGCATTGTTTTTGGTATCAACATCCATGTTATATTATGACGTGTTGGGTTATAGTACATTTATAACTTATGTAGAACTTTTTATGCGTTCCTGATAATCTATTCAAGCCTATTCTAATGTTCCAGGGATGTGTTATAGTGTCGCTGCTTCCTCTTGACGCGATGTCAGGGGTAGCTTTCTGATCCCTTTCCGGCTGTGGGGATCTCTCCCAGCATGCACACACAGTGACCGCGACGCCGTTCACTGGGGGGAGGCAGGTACAGACTAGGCTCCATGTAGATGCGATCATGAATTTTGTGTTCACTGGCCCAGGGCAGCAATATACGGTGGCCTTCAGATCCAAGGTGTTGTTCTAGCATGTCTTCATTACGATGTCGCACCGATTCCTGGAACAGTGTTTGTTTCAAGATGTCTTTCAAGATTTCCATGACACGTGCGAGGTGTCCAATAAAACGTCACACCCAGGTCGAGCTTTTGTGTAGGTCCAGCGTCGGTGCGAGAGTCTTGACCCGAGAGATCGGAATCAGATTAAGCACAGGTTCGTGTGAGTACCGGATAATATCAGGCAGCCCACATGGAAACTAGTACATGCCAGCATAGTTGCGTTTCCAGCAGGCGGCCATATTTGTGAACCAGTTGGCCAAAGCCTAGGAGAGGTTCTTACGGGGCGAGTCCTATGGTCTTTTGTCTTTCCTTGCTCTTTGACTTCATTGCTCTGAGTCCGTGCCTCCCTCCCCTCCCTCGCTCGCGCTGCCTGAGGTACGTCTTGCATCCAGGCAGGGACTGCCCAAGTTTGTTGCTGGTTGTGTTGCCATGTGTGCAGATGGCGTTGTCGCAGCACAGGCACTGCTCATAGATCATTGTTACTGTCATGATTATGATCGTTGTTACGACGAATATGTTGTTCATGTTCATGATCATAAACTGTCAACTTGTGCTATGAATGCGGCCTCCTCCGCGTATTACAGTGGACAGACCCCTTTCATGAAGAGAAGACGTTCAACGGTTCCCAGGTGGTGTCCAAGCAGTACCGGGACCTACTAGCCAAGAATAAGCAGGAGCTCTTCTTTGGAAGCCGCTGGCACCTGCAACTCTTGCTCGGTGAGCTTGGGGGGGAGATCTACAAGCTGCCGGGTTGCTCCAGGCTGGTTGCGCGGTTTGCAAGCGGAGCCGATTACCAGCGACAGTTCCGACAAGTCTGCGTTGCTTTCCAATTTGGTTTCAACCTGTGTGTCACGGCAAGGTCTAACACTTTGACTTTTGAGGAGTGCCAGCCAAGCAGTCAGCAGCTCCTGAGCGGTCAGGACTTGGGCTTGTTATTCTTGCAAGACTACAAACAGCGGACCAACTCAGAGGCATCTTATGACAGCGTGGTCGACACGTCTCAGGATCTCGGAGTTGATGAATTCACGAAGCACAGTCTGAACGTGGCTTGTGAAACGAATCAGGCGGTCCGAAAGTTAAGCTTTGGCGTCGGCGGCGTGGGCGCAGGAGACTCAGGATTGAGCGGCTCCTGCACATCCACCGTCTTGAGGGGAACACGGAGGGACAGAGGCAGTAGTTTCGGAAAATTAGGAGCCCCTAATATGGACCCCAAACAAGAGGTTTCTGAATAGACAGACCCCCAAAAAGGACCCCCCCCAAATTTCATTTTCCCACAGGTGTGACCCTGCCATTCAGCTTCCGGAACGAGGGCGCGGATCGGTGTCTCCAGCATGCACCGTGCGCGTTAAACCCAAGCCAGCAATGCCTCCAGTCGACCGAAGAGGTCCTGGGGAGATGCTCCGGAAAGCAGTCCCAGCTGTTTTTCCTCCGAAAGGCATTTATACCTTCTTACCTGAGGTTTTTCCGGACCAGAGACGGTCACAGCAATGAGGGTTTCAAGATGTATTTGGACGACAATTTCGACAACGAAGTGCACTGGGAGAGCTGGATACGGTTTCCACTACTGTCTCGAGCTATCCCTGAGGAAGCTGGACCAGTGAAGGGTATATGTCGCCTCAACACAGAGACTGGCACCGACGCTCGCTCGTTCGAATGCTCAGATGGGATTCGACGAATTTGCTTTTATGGGAGGACTCTGGCTAAGAGTATCATTGCATGCACTCGGGCCATATGGCTCGGATCTGTCAACAGCAACAGCTTTCGCCTGGAGGCTATTGAGATAAATCTTGACCGCGGCATCCAGCAAACCTACCTGGCACCAAATTTCAAGCCGACCACAAGCAACCAATTCTTCTGGCGTGCTGACAACCTTGGTGGTCTGGATAGCCTGCAGCTTACATGTGGAGTCGGTGAGGTGATCACCAGCTTCAGCAAGGTGGGAAGAAAGAGCCCGGGCAGCAACTTTTCTATGAAATCTCCTCATCCCCTCAAAAAATGGCTGCTGTCGGCAGAATCCTTGGAGGGGATAGGAGCATGGGACAGAAGCAGGAGTGAAGCAGGATGGGACGGGTTGAACTAAGTGTTATATGAAACGAGGGCTGGGGACGGAGCGCAAAGACCAGAGCAGACAGCACTTTCTGCTAGTGTTGGAAGTCATATGGCGTGGTGACAGTCTGGCATGAGGTTCCATGCAAAGACGGTGCCAAATTTACATATAATGCAAGACAAGCTTAGTAGGTCTCCCACTCTGGCATGCACTGTGTATGATTTTCTTGCTTTGTGCCCCTTTTTTCTCTCACACAGAGCTCCATGACGTCTCCTTGAGGATCTCCTGGACGTGCCAGCAGGTCTTGGGCCTGGGTGCCTGTGTGGAGAAGACTTCTCTGGAACAAGTTGAGATTGACTCCAAGGAGCGCGGTCTTGTGGAAATCGATTGTGCGGAGGGTCACGTCATCAAGAAATTGGAAACAGAGGTCAATTATGTAACCGAAAGCTTTCGACTGAAAGCTACTTGCTGTTTTGTGGCTTCCATGCCGTTTACCCTGCGCCCGTATCAGCAATTCGACACGGCTGATGTAGATGAGCTCTCAGGCATCTTCTGTCCCAAGCCAGAAGGTCTGGACGACTCCGGCCGTCCTGAGTTATCACAACAACTCAGCTTCAAGTTTCCTAGCAATGTGCCGCAGGCAGAGTTGCAGTATGACAAAGCCCTTGGCAAGTGGAGCCTGAAGGACCGGCCTTCACCAGTCTGTGCTTCTACTGACCCAGCTGTGGAAAGCGATGTGGTCCATCCGTTAAACTTGGCCCTGGGGAGATTCTACGTTGTGCCCATGACAAATTTCGATGGGGTTTTTGAAACCCCCGTTGGAGTGGCAAGGGACGCGGCAACACCTCAGCCACCGCCCAAGCCGACCCTCATTACCTTCAGCGCGACATCCCCGGACTTTGCCGCAGAGTGCCAGGATGAGAACACTCCAGGTGCGGCTTGCGTCGTATGACAATGCATAGGGCATAGATGTGTGTAGCATGGGAGAGAGCACACAGTATTGTAACTTACTTTAGAACATTTGTGTTTGATGGCACCCCCCCCCCCCCTCAAACAACGTAGAAAAACACCGCCCAACGGGGGGGGGGGGTTGGGGAATCTGCTGCAGGTAGCAGGCAAGTCCGTACCCGTGAGTTGCAAATAGTTCTCGTCCCCGACAGGCACACGAACGTTTGACCGCAAGCGAATGAACCAGAAGGCTCAGGAGCTCTTGAGCGCAGATAGCGAGCACCCATGCGGCTACATCTTCAGCGAGCCAAGGACATCGAGGGAAGTCGCTGCCCCGGGCCTTTCCTGGTGGCCTCAGTCAGATGTCTCTCCGTATGCGGGGATTGGCTTCAGAGCAGCCTCTGGTGGCTTTGACGGTGGTGATGAAACTGGAAGCGGTGTCACCTACAGAACTGTTAAGGAGTGCTCGGACAGAGTGAAATCGCGCCAAATAGACAATAGCGCTGACAAGTTTCCAATAACAACCGGGCTACTCATTCTTGACAAGCTAAAGGACGACAAGCAGGCAACAGCAGAAGCGGTAGTGAAACTCTCCGCAGGCCTAGGTGCCGAGACAGAATGGAGTCCAGGATTGACACTCAATTCCTTTTCCAGGGTGGTTGCGAACGCCGGAAAGGCAGTGCTCACAACGTATGCGAAAGCCTTGGAGAGGGACTTCAACAAGGCCAATGCATCTTGACGTGATGCCCTTCTGTTGGCAAAAAATTGTAACATGTTGGAAGGGCACTGGACAGTACATCTGAAGTGCCAGGCTAGGGAAGAGGAGAATGCTAGAAGCGCCCTGAGTTGCTTCGGCCATGAGTCAGATTCCTGCTTGGTCAACCTAGGCAAACGATTGTGATCCTTTACAGCACGGCCTCGCTCGGATCTTTTGTGACTTGTATTGTATCCGCGACTTTGTGAAGAAGGGCGATGCTGCGATCCTCCAGAACCTGCAGTCCGCCACCGACACGCTGAACCAAAATTTGCAGGAACTCTTCTCTTTCTATGCAGGTGCCGGCCTTAGATTGTGCTTCGCCGGTGCAAAGACTTGAATTCCGTGCCAGACAATAGCTCTACTGACTTTCCAAGCCCAGCATTCCATCAGAATCCCAGCTCTGTCTGGTACGGATCAGCTCCTGGCTCTTGCTATTCTTCCCATTTCATGCTAGTGTTTGTAATTGTCAATCTGATTATTGCTCCCCCAACCGCCCCTCCATCCCCTAATTGTTGGTGATGTGCCATCCACATGCATGGGAAGGCTTGGGAGGTCCCCAGCCATGCCGCTACATCCCCCTGTTGCTGCTGTGCCATCTGAGTTTTTGGGAAGACTTGGGTCTCCCTTATAAACCAATTCCAAGCTCCCGACCTGTCCAATGCAAGAGGTTGTCCATGGGGACAAAAAGATGGCATCCGAACTTGTTGACGGTTGGGATGAAAGGGGGTTAGTATGGGCCCCTCAACCGTACGATACCGTACGGAAAAAAAGGCGGTCACTTGCCATTGCGTTGAAATATGCCATGTATTTGCATGGTTGCCATTATTGTTGGCATTATGATCGTCAATATTATTCTTCTGATTATTGTTCTTCTTCGTCTTCTTCTTATTAGTGTTATTACCTTATTTCTTTTTGTAATAATAATAATAGTTATTATTATTGTTATTATTAATGTTATTAGTACTTTTTATGATTATTGGTGTTATAATAATAATTATAATTATTATCATTAATATTATCATCATTCTCATAAATACTATATTATTATTAGTAGTAGTAGTATGATGATTATGGCTATTTTTATTATTCATCGTCATCACCACCATCATCATCATCTTCTTC